TTTATTCTTTTTGCATGTGGATATCTTTTATGATGTTTTAAATAGAAGCCTCCTACGTTAGATAGATGTTCCTTTAAGACCTTGTGACAGGTGTTATATGTCTACATGTCTGTCTCAGTGCCATTCACTGTACTAAGTACACAATTAGCTACTTTGTGTGAGCCTATGTATGAACTCTTCATATTTTTGTCAAGGACAGAATATTTCCCAAGATGTTATGATGTTCAAAAAAATTTTTCTAGTATCACCCAGCATGGTTTCCTACAAAAAAATTGTCTGTACTCCAGAGCAGTAAATACAAGTAAGCACATTTGTTTCCCCTTGAAGTAGAGATTTCATTGCCTATCTCAGAGTCCTCCTTTAGGTCTGTGTGGAAACATCCTCACCCCTAGAAAATCTTCCTCGATTCCAGATTTGCCAGTCCTTTTCTTGCTGTTTGCCATGACCACCACTTCTACATATTGAAAAAAAAAATGGCCTTTGCAACCTTCCTTCCCATTCTTAGCTCACACTCCATGCCCCTTGATTTCTACTTTCTTAGTAGCTTTACCAGTATGTTCCATTTTTGGCAATCCCTGGGACAAAGAATTCTGCTCACCTGGTATTTGACAAGAATAATTCATTACATTTCATCTTGCTGGCCTCATATGGCATTTTAAAGTGCATTTTTAGCCACCCTTACACATTCATACTCACACAAACCTTCTCTTAGTTTTTCCTATCACCCAACCTCTCATTCTTTCAAGCCCAGTAGATATATGTTGTGTTAACCTTTTAGAAATATAAAGCACAGTTTAAGTAGGTTCAGAGAAAAAGCTGAAGTCAGCCTGTGGATTACCAAGCTGAGGGCTGCATTTGACGGCAGATCTGTGAGGTATCATTTGGTCTAAATCTAAGACCAGTGCTTGGTACCTTATTTGGATATTGCTGCTTTCAGTGCTTGGGCTGTTCTTCCAAACACTGGAGTTCTCGGCTACTTTTCAGCATGATGTAAGTACCACAAGTATTGCATTGTCTTAGGGCTTCTAGTGGGGGATTTCAGATAAGATTCCACACATGAATACAGTGGAAAACATTAGGTAGAAGTAAACATTTAAGAAATGCACTTGAAAGTCTCGCTTGATACTGGAAAAAAAATTCCCAGTTTCAGCAATTGGAGTCTGACTCTTTCATCTTCAAAACATGCGCCAGCTTGAAATACTCAAAAAGAAGGCCGGAAGAGACCAGCTGCACCCATCCTAATCTAATTATTCCTCCAATGGTACTTAACACGGGGTCACTGCCTTCCTGTGCTCTATACTGCTCAAATATAAACTACTGGTTTTCTGCAGAAAACGTCTAAAAGAAAAGTCTCTTGTCACGCTATAATTAAGTAATTTCACATGTTAAGAAATGGAGTTGTTATTTACAGCATTAACCATCCTCCTCTGTCACTAAATGTAGGGAACGTTCACAGAAGTGTGCAGTAGTCAGAGCAATAGACACTGTGGTGGGAGGTTGTTCAGAAAGTAACTCACTGGAGAGCGAGAAAAGAACGAGAATGTGGAAAGTGAGTGTTAAAAGGGTTTCTGAGACATGACAGCTTCAACCAATCTGTCTGAAGGAAAGGGAATATTCAGAAAGGACATGGATATTTTTGGTTCTGTAAAGGCGTATTTGAGAAGCAGTAGTTATTTGGAACTTACTGGAACACTTACAAAAGTCCTTAAGGTACAATTCTTAGTCTCATTCCTGGCTCCATTATAAAGCTCTATCCTTCCATTTTCCACCTGCTCCCTCCCTCTCCCTCATTTTGTGCCATTCATAATGCATGCTATCTCATAGTTCTTGCATCCTTATACCTTTCCCCAAATATTTTTAAGATAAGATGTGGAAATAAACAAACACCTAAAATGTAAAAGCCAGGATTTCTCTGATAATGAGGTTTCTCCACCGCCTACACTTTCTTTGACGTTTGTATTGATTTGATGCCAGCATGTTTTCCATTTCCTTCGTTTTCAAGCTAAATTTGTGGGCAATGCAAAGAATTTGAAGTCCCTGCTCTCAAAGAACTCATGTTTCATTTGGGGACATTAAAAAACACAAAAGGAAACCCCTGAAAATCCTGCTGTGAGTCAAATACCTATTCCATCATTGTGAATGTAATGGCATGCACAGAGAAATTGAGATGCTGGATGAAATTTAAGGTAGTGATAGAAAAGTTCTGAATGCAAAGCTTTGGGGTCTTAGAAAATGACGAAGAAAAAAAGCTCCCATGATCTCAACACCCAGACAGCTTCTTAACATCCTGGTGTATTTCCTTCCAGTCTTTTTTCTCTGAATATTTGAGAATAGATAAGCTTGTGATGTTACAGCCACAAGTACAGGTTTTTTTCACCCTAACAAGTAATTCCCTATTTTATTAACGTTTTCCTGTATATTTTTAACACCATAATTCACCCAAATATTCCCTCCTCTCTGGACATTCATATTGCTTTCCAAGAGAATTGTCTGGAACCTCCCTCCATGAGTAGAAATAATTGGGAGAATGGAGAGACTACCGACTTGAGGCATCAATTTCTCCATGATGACTAGCTGAAAATACTGCAGTGGTTTTCCCTATTTTTTATGCCAAACCTCTGGCATCTGAATTCCGTTGCTTTCCTTTCTCGCTTTCACGGGTCCCACCCTTTTCTTGAAGCCTCTAACCTCGTTTCCCAATTGCGTTGATGAACAAAAGGGTTATTTGCCTAGTAGGTTCCTCTTCAAAGTAATTGAAAACTGGGGTCTTTTATGGGCCCTGAGATACCTTAGCTGTGTCTTCCTGACCGGAATTTTTCAAGGCACGCGTTTACCAACAAGGCAGGTTCCTGGATGGATGTTTCTGAATTGAATGCAACAGTAAATTGGGGAACTGGAAGTAGAGTAGGACGCAGGAGGGGACCTTTTTCTATCACTAGTCAGTCTCAACAGGTAAAGTTCTCTAGTTCTTCCCTGAACCTGCTGGCACCGTTCCTGAGCCATTAGAATTCTTTCAAGGTGTGGCCGAGGGTGGGGTAGAAGATGTTTAGCCATCTAAAAGACTTAGACTGTTACTTCTAAGCTGCGTATAAAGATACAGAAATACAAAAAGCTGGAGCAGCTGGGGAAAGTTTCTGAAAGTTCTGCATCCCCCGCGCCCCCCAGTGACCACCGTAAGGGTATTTGACTCGCTTCTGGCTGGAGCTTGTGAACGGGTTAACAGCGCAAACTCCTGGGAGTCCAGTAGGAGTTGCTGATTGTGCCGGACATTGCTTGCAAAGCAGTTTCTGTGGTTCGCCTCCCTCCGGGTTTTCTCATTCTTTTGTGGGATGTTCATGCAGCTAGCTTAGCCATTTACTTCCTAAAGTTTTCACTTCCCAAACCCCTCTCTCCAGCTCCCGGAGGGTGGCACCTCTTCCCGCCCCGAGACTTCGGGACCCGCTCCAGGCGTGGGGAGGGGGCGGGGGACTTTGTTCCCTCCACACGACCTTGCCCTGGGAATTTCCTGTGGCCGTTTCTCACGGACAAGCCCACTTCTCCCGCTGGACGCACAGACACCCACCGCCACGGGCCCCGGCCAAGCCCGAGGCCAGAGCGCGGAACGCAGCGCCGGGCCGCCCACCGCGCCCCCGCGGGAGGCCGCCCGCGCTCCCCTCGCTCCCCCTCCTCAGGTCCCGCCGCCGAGAGCCCGGATGTTGGATTCAATCCCTACTCCCGGTCCTTCATTTCCATAAAAGGGCAGCGGCTCGGCGGGGCTGAGATTGCTGCGCCGCGGGCGCCCCCCGCCTCCCCCGCTCGGCTCCCCCCAC